TGCCGGAATTGGCCAGTCAACTGCTTTGACGCTTGACCATCAACTTCAACCTCAACCTCAACCTCAACCTCATCACCAAATGAAACAACATCATCACTCACAGACAACTACCAAATACCCTCAGCCAGCCTCAAAAATACCCCGCTCCGCCTAAAGATTTGTCGACCTTATCACTCAGCTGAATACTTATACCGCCCCTGCGAACAACAAGCTTCAATACCGACTTCCTCTATCCTGCTCGAACCTCAAGCTAAATGACGTCACTCAACCCCTCATCAAGACAGCAAGAACGAATTCCTACAGCTCTCTTCTTCCTACCCATCATCCTCAACACTCCATCGATTCCACAAGGAGGTCATTCCATTCCAGCCCACCCAGAAAAGATGTGATTGAATTAACTTGTATCTTATGGAACTTTTTTTTTCCTAATAAACTGATTGAGAAAAATAAAATGAAACAAAATTTTACTTGCTTGCAAAAAAAAAACAATAGCTCTTTGGTTTCGGTGTCTTCTCATGTTCAATCCCGATCTTCAAGTCTTTCCTTCTCTCGTTGACTCGAGGCACACTGGTGATCTTGCCGTTCTGGTACCGCTGGAAACTGGCCCGACACTTTCCGCGTGCCTCCCGGACGCTCTTGACGATTCCACTGTTTGCAATGTGTCTGGTAATCGCCATCGGGATCGACCAAAGTCCACGGACCCATCGCTGGCGATTGTTATTAATGTCAGAGGCCGAGGAGATGGAATGGTCCCGTCGTAGGTTCGAGGACCTGGTCAGCACAGATGGGGATCTGATTGTAGGCCCACAAGACCCGAGAACTCAGATGGTCAAGGAAATCTGCGACCGGTTGATGACCGCCTTAGATCTTGACTCACCCGTCTCCGCAGCCGCCTGGCCCAGAAACCCTGAGATCGATGAACAACATCACTTCGGGCGTCGTGTTGAACCGTCAAGAAAGGAAATCAAATCTAGCGCTACAGCCAGCTCGGATCTTTTGCCCTGGAAACCTGAATCCAGCAATCCAGAGAAAAAACTTGAGTCCAACGATTGGGAGCTTTTCATTATGTGTGTTGCGCGTCTCATTTGGATGATTTGGAGACTTGAAATTATTCAAACCATCAAAAAATTCACTTCAGCTCTCTAATCAACAGACCTTCTTTTTGTTTGGATGTAGTGACTCACCACGAATCAACGCGTTTGTCCTTCCAACAAAAAAGATATTTGTATACACGGGTCTCCTCGAGCTGATCCAAAACAGCGAAGAAATGGCCGCAGCTGTGATAGCCCATGAAGTTGAGCTTTCACTCCTTCCTCCTATAATTTTGAGTATATATGCAATCAAGCTAAAAAGATCTGACCATCTTGGTTAGGTGTCACATGTGGTTGAGAGACATGCAGTTGAGAACTTAGGCTTCTCGGCCCTCTCAGCAGTCGTCTTT